TGTGAAGTGCCTACTTGTCACTACACCACCTCCGCCTAAGAACTCAAATATATGTATTTAAACATTTACTTCTCCCCGGTTTTTCTCGGCTTGGCAGCACCAGGTACATAACTTATGGCTAGCGGACACCTTCCTCGACCACTTTCACTCTCGACACAGAGTAGAAAAAGTTTGTAGCTAGCGTACCGAAGACAAACTACATAGAACCGAAGTATAGACTAGTATTCCTTTTACTCACCGGTCGATTCCAAAATCCTGGCTCCTTCACTAGCTGAATATTGGCTGATCTAGCCAAAACACCTGTGAAGAAAACATCCTCGACTTCAAAGACCTGCAAGCATTCGAAATAAATCACAGATAATGTAATTAAAGAAAGTGTAGACATTAGACCACAGAAATAAGTTAACACTGTATGAATTGGATGAATTATGCCAATTTTCGATAAAGCACTTTCTCGCTTTTGAAGAAATCACAAACAGAAATACCAGAAAAATAAAAATGGGTTAATTGAACCATCACAACTGACTTAACAACTTATCTCACCTTATGCCTCCAGGCGACCTCTATGAGAGCTGCTAAGGCTGCTGGGCTTATGAGGTAGGTGGGACCATTACAGTAATCGGGTAGGTATCGCTCATGATACGATGATTCAGGAATGTACCTGAAAACTTTTCAATTGTAAAACGAGAATATAAGTAAAAATTGTTAAAAAACAACGACTACAAGTAAGTTTCAGTAAATATGAACAGTGATCGAATAGGCTAATAGTAAAGGAAGGATCAAGAGATGAATTACCCGATATCACAAGCTATCAACGACACTTACCACAAGCTATCAACGTCTCGAATAGGTTGGACCTTTTTGTGAATATGGCACAGCATATATTTCTCGTGAGGTTGCTTAAGAAGGGGAATCACCTGAAAAAATATTCCAGTGAAGAAATTGAGCTGACTTTCTCACGACCCCCAAAGTGGAACCGAGAGTGCTTAACCCTATTTGCAAAACAAACCGCCTCTCTGGAAATTCGATACTGACCTTGTCAAGGTGAAGCACGACGTCAGAATCGACTTTAAGCACAAACTTTTCTGGGTAGTTGGCAACAATCCAACGATATGCAGCAAATATCTAAATAGGGGACCATCAGTAGATCTATGTATATAGCGTAATTAATCACAATTCGTTTACCAAGGCAGCGCAAAAGGAGGGAGAATGCCTGTTTCAGACTTTCCTTCAAAGCTGTACATGCCCCAGGCTATACAGTAACTAGCGAGTTCCAGAATCATATTGACTGTCACCCCTTCATGGTCTCTAGAGAGATGAAAGACCAGAAATAGAAGGTTTGTTTGAAGTGCTCAGTGTAGTACAATGTTCCAGCCACCTTGGTTGAGAACGCGCAACCTTTTTTTTGTGGCAAAATCAGGAACTAGAAGGCCGAGTTTTCCAGAGCAAAACTAATCTTTCATAAGCATTTCATTGTCTATGACTTTGGTGAGCAAACCGGTGGGCATTATCCGAAGGGTGATCTGAAGAGACTTATGAAAGAGTTGGGCCGTGCAACTATCTCAGTTCATACAACCATAATGAATTCTGGTCTCCGAATCGTTCAGTTGGAACCAAATTAGCCTATCGTTCAGTTGGAACCAAGTTCGCCTGAGGGGTGAAAGCTCTGAATTGAACATCGGCTGGTGACCGCAATCCATTGCATAGGCCGAATACCCTTTCAACACACCACTACAATTCTGGGTAGAAATCGAACTCGGTGTGCATCCCTCAGGCGGGATTGGACAAAGCCCAAAATTTGATCCTTTTACTGCTTACACACAACTTTTCCACCGACTATCGCTGAAGGATGAATTTTTAAAAAAGTAAAAAATGCCTTGTAAACAAGTGTTGCGTATGATTCTGGTACGTCAACATGTAGAATGTCGTTGTGTTTTTGTTGTTCGTCGTTGATCATGTCTGAGTCTGAAGCGGAAGCCAAGCCTGTCACGAATACAACAGATGCGCTTTTGTTCTGAAAATAAAACACTCCGACCGACGAGGATCTATGCGATAATAACTGGAAATGATCGGGCAGAGAA